GGCCCCCCCCCCCCCCCCCCCCCACACACACACACACACACACACACACACACACACACACACACACACCTCAGTACTTAGTGCCCTAACAAGGGGGGTGTTACTCTCTCATTGCGTGCATGTGTGTGTGTGTGTGTGTGTGTGTGTGTGTGTGTGTGTGTGTGCGTGCGTGCGTGCGTGCGTGCGTGAGTGCGTGTGTGTGGTGAGTGCGTGTGTGTGTGTGTGTGTGTGTGTGTGTGTGTGTGTGTGTGTGTGTGTGTGTGTGTGTGTGTGTGTGAGAGAGAGAGAGATTGAGTGCATGTATGTATGCATGTGTGTTTGTCCCCGTGCGAGTGCCTCAACTCCCTCACCCAGAAGAGGTAGCTATCCATGAGGATCCATATGTTGCTGACGTTCCAGTCGCCGATCCAGGGCGCGTGCAGTGTGTTGTTCATCATCGTGGAACCGATGGGCGCCACGTGAGGATTGGACACTGCGAACGGAACACACAGCCACTATACGAACGTACACACATGCACACACACGCAATTAGTGAGCGAGCGGTCAGTCTGTGAGTGAGTGAGGGGTGACGGGTTGTTTGCCACCAGGCTGAAGAAGATGAGGAGCAGCTGGATGACGTCGGTGTAGGCCACCGAGTAGAGGCCGCCCAACAGCGTGTACGGGATGGCCACGCAAGCCGAGATCCAGATGCACACGCTGAACGACATGTCCAGGACCACGCTCATGGTCACGCCTGAAAGCACGCACAAACACCACGTACAATGTCACTACGGGGTGACGCTGCACGTGTGCTTGGTCTGTGTGTCAGTGTGTCAGTTTTTCGGTTTGTTTATGTGCGAAGGAACGCGTGTGCCAATGTGTCTGCGTGTCACGATGCAAGCTTGTGTGAGTGCATGCATTGCGTGCGTATCACCCAGGCTGGTGAGGGTGCCGGGCACCCAGAAGATGTCGAGGAAGAGCGAGGTGCAGCTGAAGACGGCCGTCAGGCCTTTGCCGTACTTGCGCTGGAAGGGATCCATCATGGTGACACATTGGGTTGCGCGCAGCGGCCCAGCGAACGCCAGCCCGCCTGGTGGAGAGCCAACATCATCTTGGCAATCAGCCGCTGGAAGCTTAGACGAATTCAACCTCTTCCATGCCACGGTGCATTGAGATACAAGTTAATTTATTTACTTTGTGGATGAATAGCTTTGAATATTATCTGCCAAACTGCCACGTGGACTGAGAGGAGTTGCGTTCACTGCCACCATACAATGCCTGTATCTCCAATTTTTGCTCACAAGTCAAAGGAAAAAAATGATCTTGTATGATGTCTTATATCTCAACACCTGTTGTGAGTCACTTTTATCTCAAAGCACCACTGCATAGCCCTTCTACATTGATTAAATTAGCTAAGTGCAATACAAATTATAATCATCATTATTATGACTAATAACAATATATGTATAGATATAATGTGTGTGTGTGTGTGTGTGTGTGTGTGTGTGTGTGTGTGTGTGTGTGTGTATCCCACGTGGCTTCGGGAAGGAAGAACAACAAGCACGCTGACTCCGCGGGGGAACCTCACCCCCACCCACCACCATACCAAAAACAAAAAAAACACAAAAACAACAAGACGGAAAGTTGCGTGGAAAGGTGCTCACCTGTCATGGTGAAGACCCCCACCAGCAGGCTGATGCTACGGTTTGCAAGCAACGACATCTCCAGGATGCCGCTCACCTGCTTGCACTTCAACCTCCTGGACTTGACTGACGCCCAGATCCCGATGCCGAGGACCAGCGCGTAGAAGAACACCATGGAGATGATGCCCGGAATGTTGGCGGCCATCTCGGACTGAAAGACACTCCTCTGCAAAAATAAAAAATGGCGTGGACATTTCTTCTGGTCATCCAAACTGTTGCTGCCACCAACAAATACACCAACAAATGTATATTCAAGTTGGGTTTTTTTTCAACAGAGGGTGTGGAAGAACGTCCCGATATCAGTAAATTCCACTTGCTGTCGTTTTCCCCTGTCCAATCAAGCAAATTTTTACAACTTTGGAAAAAGTTGTTTTTTTTTTTCACATAGATAGATGTCATTATTTGTGCAAAGTGCATTACTGAGCGACAAACTAGAGAAGTTCATCTTTTTTAAAATGATTTTTGACCCCTGAGCACGTTCAGTTCATTTTAACTTCCTGCCATAGAAAGACAAATAAACAAGCCACTGATTTCAGCCTCATAACTTTTCACAAATTCAAAATAAAAATGAGAACGAATCTTTCACAAATGTCATTTAAAAACGCTGAAATGGGGGCAAGCAATTCGCTCGAAGGGTGCCGGTGGCGGCTTTCAAAATGTTTCCACTAGGGGTCAGGAGCACAAATTAAAGCGAACTAATCGGAGTAAAAGAAGAAAAAGTGTTATTGTGATTGGCTCGTTTCAAACTGGGAGCGCCATTCCGTTTCCTTGACTGCTGTTGTCATGTTCCGATGCGTGTGAGCGGTCTTGTGTGGCGTGTGCCTAATTTTGTGGACTTTTTCTGGAGTTGGAGGTGGTGGGGGCGGCTTCAAATATCGCTTGACTGCCATCCTAAACCATTGAAATGGAATTGTGAGGCTGCTCACGAGAACCGGCCCAATAAGGCGGCCTGATTCTCAGCCGGGATGTCCACAAAGAATTCAACCAACACCACGGTGTTTCCCCACACATCCCTGACTCATAGATTCAAATAATTTATCAGGAGTTAGGAGGGGCGGGGGTTCTTGTTTTTAACATGTCACGGGAAATGCCACCGACACGCAGATGTTCGTAGCATTGATAGTCGCAGTCGAACAACCACAAATGCTGCGATCATTTAGACAAATGACTTCTAAAAAAAATCACAGGCACATATTTATCCTCCTTCCATTTCGGGAAGAGCAGCGCACGGAATTGAATTGCAGCATGATCCACAAAGCCTTTCATTCATTTACATTCGATTTAACGATGCCAAGGTGCCCGTTTTTTTTAAGTACCATAGTGTAAAAAGAAAATTTTCTTTATTTAAAACACACACACATAGACCCCCAAAAATGTTTTTGGGTGGTGTAGGCAGGAACAGATTACTGGCATTCCCATTCATTTCTCCGGGGAAAGATATTGGAGATGCAAGTGTTTTGAGTTATGAGCGTGGTCATGGAATGAGTTCAACTCATACCTCAAGGCATCACGAACTGTTATTTGCTTGGTATTTTTATTCAATTCCTTGTTATTCGCTTGGAAACATTCAAATGTTTTATGTTTTTTTTTTTTTTTTTGGTCTTCCCTTGTACACACGAGGAGCTTCAGGAGAAATATCGGGCTCATGCTTCAGCTGGGGAAGCGAGTGGCTGAGCTGCAGGCGGCGGCCGAGCGCACCTTGGAGGAGAACGCCTTCCTCTGCCGGGGGACGAAGGAGCTGCAGGAGGAGTACCAGCGGAGGAGGTTGTCCCTGCCCGCTCCTTGCGGGGCGGGCGGGACTGGGTGGGTGTTGAGCGGGGATGTGTTGTTGAAGCTCGTTTCAGAACCTGATTGGGCTGTGCAATTGATTGAAATTTTATTACGATTTTGATGATTGCACAATATGATTACAACATTGGTATATTTGTTTAAAAAAATATGAATGCTACACTTTGTTCATTGACTTAGTTACAATGAATGGTGCCTCTGGTCACGTATGACTCAATCAAACCACGTCCATCCTTCAGCCTACTGGTTGAGATGGCAAACGTTCAATATTCAACGAGATTTGAGACTCCTCCAAAGCTGAAAAAAATAAACGACAAATCTTTGGGTGCCCCGCCCCAAAAAAAAAAAAAAAAGAAGTGTTTTATAAAAAAAAAAGGCTTTCATCAGTGAAAGCTTTGAAATTTGTATCTTGATAGGCTTTGGTTGAACTAACACCAAGAACGAACAAGAGGTACCAAGAACGAAGCAGAGGCTCAGAGGGGACGAGCCTTTTCCCTTGCTGGTCCCTTTCATTGGAATGAACATTCGGCAAGGCTCCTCGGTGCCCATCTTTAAAACTTGTCTCAAAACTCATTTCTATTCTTTGGCTTTTGACTCGACAGGAGTCAGACTAGATGATTAGTTTGACTGTTTTTGTCCTTTCTCCTGTCTTTGTTCTTCATTTATTGTTTCATTGTTTATTGTTGTATGTACGATAGTTGCTCCATGTACAGCACTTTGGATACAGCGGTGGTTGTTTTGAAAGTGCTCGAGAAATACGCTTGAGTTGAGTTGAGAATTGTACATTCTCTTGGAGCTATTTCCATAACTTGACTGACAATGGGTGTGGCCCACTATTTAAAGTCCCTTAAATGAACATTTGCGGTGACAAATGTTAATTCTCGTGAGATATTCAGGAACAAGGAAAATCTGTCAACAGCCGCACCTTATTCAAGCCGCAGGGAGGGTTGAGTCGCAACTTGTGCAAACTTGCTTCGCAAAAATAATTTGATGACAGCAGTCATCACCGTCTTGTTTTTGCTCACAGATGGACAAAGTGAAGAAGATGCTGAGACAGCAAAACGCCGGCCACCCGAGCCAATGCGCCTGGCCAAAGAGGAAGCGAGGAGCGCTCACGAGGACATCACGGTAACCTGCAGGGCGTTATTGATTGACTGTCAAAGGGTTCCTCGCTCCACACAACACACAGACACACACAGACACACACACACACACACACACACACACACACACACACACACACACACGCACACGCCCACGCACACGCACACGCCCACGCACCCTTTGAAGCATCATGATTTTCCTGATGAATGAGAAGAATATCAGCACTTTAAAAAAAAATTGTGAAGTATATGTTTGTTTTTTTCATGAGCATTCATTCTCAAATGACAGCCATTCATTTGACAGTTTCATTTTGCTCTTGAAACTGTTTCCATATCGTTTGTATCTACGTTTGTTTAACACGGCAAATAACAAGGTGAACTTGCACCAGTTGAAGGTCCCCCAGGTACATTGCGCAAATTTACAAAAACACATAGAGAGCGTGAGCTTCCTTTTTCAGGGAATTACCCCCACCCCCGTGGGTCCGAGTGTTGTTGACCTCTCGGCATGGTAACCTTTCAAGTGTTCGAATGAACCAGAATGGTGGAAAAGTCTTCCCGGGTTCAGTAAAGATGAGATCGCAACCCGCTCTGGATGCTTGTTGATGAACAACACGGTGGAGTGGCAAGCGTCAGCTTACCTTGTGCTGCAAAAGACCGACGGCAGATGTTTGCTGCTTCCGTCTTTTTCTTCAACAAAACTGTCCACGGCGCCGAGTAGAGCCTTCAGATGAGAGCGTCTGTCCTTCGGCTGTCACTTGACTGCCTTTGAACCATGCCAAGCTTCTCCGTGCCAATTGTCGCATGTCTCCACCCCTTGTCAGCCATGCGATGCGATGACACCAGAACAAGAGCTTTTAACCCATGACTTATTCCCGGTGCATTCTTGAGAACAATTTTCGACTGTCTTGTGACTGATTTCTCACCAAGCTGTTTGAGGAGAAGCACCTGACAAAACGTCAAAAGTGGCGGGAAGAGAAGATGGCGCTACCTGGCCCGGCACGCCGAGCTGGTGAGCTGCCCTGGTCTTAAATCGGCATGGTCGAGCGTCGTCATGTAATATTCCTTGCATTCCTTTGGGTGTTGTCCCTCCCCCCCCCGAATGTTGCATCGCTGTCACCAACTGGTATTTTCTTTCCGCTGGAATGTGAAATGCCGCTCGCTGGACATTGTCAAAGTTGCTGAATTTTGCCTGCATTCTCTTACCACCACCCTCCACCCCCCAAAAATTTTCTTTTTTCCCTCGACCTTTGTCCAGGAGGCGGAGCCTGCGTTCCAAAGAACAAATGATGGTGAACTGGAGGCAGGAGAGAGATACACTGGTCGCCACCTTGGAGGTCCAACTTTCCAATCTTCACGCAAGCCAAGCTGACAAAGACAAAATCATCCAGCAGCTTCGTGACAACAGCGAGCAGTCGCCACCAGAGGTCGGTGCAACCGCCGCCGCCACCACCTTTTTTTCGGGTTTGTCTTCATACTGAGGTCCGACTAAAGCATGGCGCTGCGGCGCCGGGGCGACCCGAGCGC